TCTTGCTGAACCTTGTGATTTACTAAGCCCCTGCAGAGAGCCAGATGGTCATTTGGAACATGCTCTCCTCTTTTACAGCTACTGCACTATATTAAAGGCATCTAAAAATATCTCAAACACTCTTAGCATTCACTTTCGATATAAACAATTGCTGCAGTTAAGAGGAAGGGGGATATCTGAGCACTGATGGAAAGAGATGATCCAACAAATGCACAAACCAAGTGCACTTCTGGTACTGAAAAGACCACAAGTGCTTCTGAAGACTTTTTTCTTTTAGTGGAAAAATAAGTAGTTCTTGAAGTAATGGAGCTTAAGTCAGAAAGGGCAGCAGTACCCTCTCAATCAAGGTGAGACACTGCTAGAACTTAGCTAAAAATCCAGAAAGCAAAAAAAATATCCCTTGCATATTTTCAAAACAGTGTCCATTTAATACAGTGCTCTAACTGAAGGGTTTACATTGTTACAGCTAATATTTTGGACTAATCCCATGCTCCTAGTTTTGTGGTTGAGCATGAAGTAATAAAAATACTGAATCTAGTCGTATTAAATTTTTAGCAGCAGCCACAAAGAACATCTACCTCTATTTGAGAAATACACAACAAAGAAATATCAATCCCGAAGAGAATGGAAAGCAGAAATTGCAATTGTAAGCTCCAAACTTACTCCGCTAATTAGAAGACAAAATCCCCAAGCATCCAGGAAGTTAAACAGAAAACCACAGTGAAATTTCACAACCTGTTGTGGAGCTACTTGTTAAAAGCATAAATGCTAATAATGTAAATACTATAATCTTGGCAAAGCTGTCTGAGGCAGAATGTTTTAGAGGCCTATGAAATTAAGGCCAACATGAAAGAGGTGAATAGGGAAAAGACATTGTTTACAACACTAGAACATTTTATTTTGTAGCCCTTGTTATCAGGCAGCAAAGTTACAGCATAAAGGAGAATTTTCTCTTTCCCCATCCCTGCACCCCCAGAATACACTACATATCTGACCTGTGGAACTTCAGTGCCACAGGACGTTGTGTAGTCAGATCAGAAGTAAATTCAAAGGGGGCCAACTAGTGGCTCTGTGGAGCTTTGAGCCATGTATATTGTCAGTTATGTTCTTACTCATTTATTTTTATACACAAAGAATTATTCATGCTTTTTTAAAGTTGAATTCCACTAATAAGAGAGTCTACCTGTGCTTCCCAATGTGCCTTTTCTCTGTAACTGCTCTGTTCGATTTGAATAATGCACCATAGTAAACAGCCCATGCTAACATAATGAAATATACTTCCCCTGCTACTATATAAACACTTACGAAACCATCAATTCAGTGGTCTGAATGGATTAAATCATCACACTTCATAGATCCTACGTCGATCTCGCTAGCACGTTAGCAGTGCTCTCTTGATTTCTCCAGTTGCAGCCTATGCTTGTATGTTCCTTGTTACACTCTTCTGCTGCAGCCACTTCATGCCAGCAGATCTGTATCACTACTGTCACCTCTTCCCACATATTTCATACCACTTTTCTCTTTTGCTTTACAGCCAGGACTCTGTATGACTCCTTATACTCCTTCTTTTTGTATGTGTTCTGGTTGTGTTTCTGTACCATGCCTGAAGTTTTGCTTCTCCCCATCAACCCTAGCTATGCTTCAACTTCCTGGCCTTCTTGCTCCTTTTTATCACCTTCTCAATATCTCAAGGAGTCCACCAACAGCCCCTTCCACTTTCCGCTCCAGCTAATTTGAAACCCTGCTTCTTTTATCGATCCTTGATTTCACTGTATCAATGTCTGGTCTATTCATTTTTTCGCCTTTAGCAACCTCTTATTTTTGTTAGAGACCAGAAAACTTTTCCCAGCAATGAGTTACGTGTTTGTCTCTGAAACACATGAGAAACAGCAACTGCTGTGAAAAGAATCTTACTACCATCTCGTACTGGGTCTGGCTGGGATGGAGTTAATTTTTAGATTTATTTAAAGTTTATTTATAGCAGCCTGTATGGTGCTGTGTTTTGGATTTTGTGACAAAAACAGTGTTGATAATGGACCAATGTTTTGGCTATTACTGCAGGGTACTTGCATAATGTCAAAACTTTCTCTTTTTCTCACTCTGCCTTCCCTCTGCCCCCAGCGAATAGATTGGGGTGGGCAAGAAACTGGGAGTGGACGCAGCTGGGACAGCTGACCCAAACTGGCCCAAGGAATATTCCATACCATATAACATCAAGCTCAGCAATAAAACTGGACTGGTAGGGGAAGAAGAAAGTGGGTTGGGATACTGGAAACTGTGTTCCAGGGTGGCCATTGCTTGAAGACTGGCTGGGCATTGGTGTGCTGGTGTGAGATGGGAAGTGATTGCCTTTGTATCACTTGTTTTTTTCTCCTTCTTTCCTTCACTTATTAAGCTGTCTTTATCTTGACCCATGAGTTTTTCTTGCTTTTGCTTTTCCTATTCTCTCCCTGTGCTGCTGGGGGTAGCGGAGGAGGAGTGAGTGAGCAGCTGCTTGAGCGCATAGCTGCTGGGCAGCTACGTGTTGTCAACCCACCACAATCTTAATCAGTTTGGAAGCCCCAATTTTCAGGTGGAGACAAGGTTTTCCACTGTTTTATTTGACATACTATCGCTGGAACGTGCTTACTCTCACCTAGAATATTTCTATGGTTTTACAATCAATCAGATACAGTATACCAAAATTGTTAATGGATATCAAGTTGTGTGATAGACTTCATTCACTTGGCCAATTTCGTTTATCACCACATAAAACATTCTGAGAAGGCAATGGTTTATTAAAAAAAAATACCTTTGTTTGTTGTGAATTCGCTGTCTCTAGCTTTTGCAGATCTCACAAAATCAGCTGCCACTATCATCGGTGTGTAACACAAATCGCAACTGTATTTCCTAACCAAGGTTCTGAAAGCCAACCTGCAGACACATGAAAATTAAGAGATAAATAGTAAAAATATTTTTCTGATTAGCTATTCTAAAATGCTGTTCTGACAGGCAGTACTGTGGGGATGTCCAAGTATAATCATAAAATAAAACACGTCCTACGTTCATCTCCATCTTAAATAATTAAAGGAGAAAAAGGTAATCATCACTGTTTTTACAGTCAAGATAAACCTCCTCAGACAAAATACACTGAAAACATAGTTGACATGACCGTTACTTACTTTGAATAGCGGACCATAGGGGCACATATTTTTACAACTTGCCCAGAATGAAACAAATCCATGGGATCTTTTAGTTGGCATTGTTTAGTTTCTACGATGTCACCAATCATGTATAATTAACAATCCTTTTAGCATCTGGAAAAAGAAACAGCGTTTGCCTGTAAGTAATTCAGCTATTTCTCATAGAGCATGCAGCAAAGCATTAGAGCTTAAACTGGACCTGCTTTTTGGTAAAGCATCCCGCAAGAAGTCCCTCACTTGCACGGTGTCAGGAGGGAGCCTTTTGCCACCACCAGCCGGGAGCACGGGCCCGGCGCCCCGCAGCAATCTGCACAGCCCGCCTTGTAACGCCGTTGTGTTGCCGTGCCCTACAGGAGGGATCCTTCAGGCTGGAAGGGAGGGCTCCAGCCCGGCCCCTCCGCGCAGGGCCGGCTCCGAGGCCGCAGCAGGGGCTGCGGGCAGCCCCTGCCCCGCCCCGCAGCCCCCACGGAGAAAGGCTTTCCTCGCGTCCGGCGGGAACCCCC